CCTCCTCCAATAAATATTTCCCTGTGGTTGTGCTCTTCATTGACTGCACTGAAGCAAGCTCCTCTGTAATTTCAAAGTCTGGGGTTATGCCTCGTAAGAATATCAACGCACTGCGCCGTGTCACGGTGCATCATTGCTCTCATCCAGGGCTAAGGAGAAATAGGTGAAATCCTTTACCTTGTCGTTCAACTGTTGTTCCATATTCTCTGCAATGTCCTCAACACGCCGTGTAACTGTAGGTCCCCTGTAGCTCAGTTGTTAGAGCATGACGCTTGCAACGCCAGGGTTGTGGGTTCGATTCCCACGGAGGACCAGTATGAAAAAATGTATGCACTCACTAACTGTAAGTCGCTCTGGATAAGAGCGTGTGCTAAATGACTAAAATGAAAACATTTTCAAACAGCTCTTTCTTATCGGGGCAAAGTGTTGCTGCAGAGTCAATTAAACATTCTTTAATGAATTCGCCCTCAGCGAATGGCTCGCTATGTTTTGCAATTTTGTGGGACAGTACATAGCTAGCTCTCGCAATTCCGTCGTTTGCTGAATGCAGTTTTGCGAAAAGTCCTTGCTGCTTTTGCAACTGAGAAAGCAACTCTTTCGATGCACTTGCCCTCTGCTCAGAAGACATATTCCTATATTTCTCTGTATGCTTCGTCTGGAAGTGTCGGGACAAGTTGTAGTCTTTCAAGACAGTGATGCTCTCTAAGCACACAGCTTTCCCTGATACCTCAATAAAGAAATATCTCGATGTCCACTCTTGCTGGAACACCCTACATTCATAGTCTACTTTCCTTTTCTTTGAAATCTTTGAAAAACTCATTTTTGCGCAATTTCTAGCTAGCTGCTATTTGTAACTGTGACGTGTGTGTCAGCCTGTCAGTCACTGTCTTTCCTCGCGCACTTATTTATACGTGCCTTCAAAATAAATGTCCCACAAGCGGTGGGAGTTAAATCATTACACAAAGGCGAGTATTCACTGGGCTTTTAATTTGAATAACAAATACTTTTTTTACAAAACTTTACCATCGTGAATTCTTTATGTGATCTGAGCATGATTCCGCTGGCCGTATTGAATCAGGTCACATACGGCCCCCGGGCCGGCCTTTGCCCAGGCCTGCTCTATATCATAGCCAGTGATATGAAATATTCGGAGAAACCGTTTAATTAATGGACAGGTCCAGTATATGTCTAGGATCGCCAATAAACATGGTGGCTCGATGGCAACCAACAGGCAGAACTTAATGCGCTCCTGCAGGTTACCGCTGGATTTCTTAAAACTTTATTAATGGGAGATTACATGCACCTGCGGCTAAACTTGCACTGAAAAAAAACACAAAGATAAAACAGCAGATCAGTTGATCTCTCGTTGTTACCGTGTCAGGTGATTATGGTACCAGACAGCTGCGTCTGTTCTCTACTCCCGCACCCCAATGAAATATTGACCTATCAGGAGAAACCGTAAGTAGTAGTAAGCGTATATTTCATTCAAACGTTTCACCTTGAATGGCCATTGTCTCATGCCGTCTGCACTGATCTGTCTGAAAACTCGCAAACACTCATGGGGATAGCTAAAAAAAAAGTGTAGCTATAATATGCTGTCCTAACATTTGAAAATGTCTACCAAGGTGACATCGTCCACTGAACCCCCTTTCATCCTCATTCAAAAGAGTCAGAGTTAATCTGACCAAAAAAAACGATAAACCTGTAGCTAATATTGACATTTTTTTTCATGAGCCGTCACTATCAAAATCCAAATCTAGCTAAGGTGTTTTGTGGTGATAGAATCAGTATTTATGAAATTCGAAATGTGCACGAAGATTTGCGAGCTAACGCGTTAACTAGCTAGCGTCTGCTTGCTGGCTGAACTAGTCTCAAATCAATCCATATGAAGCGAAAGGCAGGGATGCTAACAACACCAGTTCACACACTCAATGCTGAATACTCCCTCTAGCTAGCTAGTGTAGTGAAGTTCTAGCTAATGTACAAATGAGGTTTCATGATATCTGTTCTGCCGTGATTAGTGCACCGAGTTCTACAGCACAGCTGACAGCTCTCTGCGATGTCTTCACTTTAGCCAAATGTTACAAAGTAGCCAAATCTAATTGTATTTATCACATGCGCCGAATACAACTGGTGTAGACTTCACAGTGAAATGCTTGCTTAAGAACCTTTTCCCAACGATACAGAGTAAAACCAAATATCTAAAAAAAATTGTAACTAACACACGAGGAATAAAATAAAATACACAAGAATGGAGTTACATACAGGGTGTACCAGTACCAGATCATTGTCCAGAGGTACGAGGTATTTCAGCTAGATATGTACAGTACATGAAGGCAGAGCAATGTGACTAGGCATCAGGATAGATACTAATAAGGTATTTGAGGTAGATATGTACATGAAGGCAGAGCAATGTGACCAGGCATCAGGATAGATACTAATAAGGTATTTGAGGTAGATATGTACATGAAGGCAGAGCAATGTGACTAGGCATCAGGATAGATAATCATAAGGTTTGGAGGTAGATATGTACTGAAGGGAAGCAAGGACCCGGATAGGTAAAAATTTAAAAAGGGATTTGAGGAAATGACTGAAGGCGAGCAAAATTTACCAGGCATCAGATTAAAATAATAAGGTATTTGGGTAGATATGTCAGAAGGCAGAGCAAGGGGACCAGGCATCAGGAAAAATCATAAGGTATTTGAGGTAGATATTAATAAGGCAGGGTAAAGTGACTAGACTGGGGTAGATAATAATAAAGGGATTTGAGGTGAATGTAAATGAAGGCAGGGTAAAGGGGACTGGGCTAGGGTAGATAATAATAGGTTTTGGGAGATATGACGAAAGGGAGGTAAAAAGATAGGATCAGGATAATTTTAAAAAGGGTTTTTAGGTAGATATGTAAAGAAGGCAGAGCAATGTGGATAGGCATCAGGAAGATTAATAAGGTATTTGGGTAGATTGTCATGAAGGCCGACAAGTGACAGCCCGGAAAAAATAATAAGGTTTTGAGGTGATTGACATAGGCGGTAAAATGATAGGGATCAGGATAGATACTAATAGGTATTTTAGGTAGTTGTACAAAGGCAGGGTAAAGGACTAGGGATCAGGATAATAAATAAGGTTTTGAGGGGAGATAGTACGAAGGGAGAGCAAAAGTACGGCACGGGTAGATAAAAATAAAGGGATTTGAGGTGTATACATGAGGCGGGTAAAGTGATAGGCATCAGGAAATTAAAAAGGTATTTTTAGGGGGATAGTACATGAAGGCAGAGCTGTACTAGGCCGGAAGAAATAAAAGGGGATTGAGGTAGATTTCATGAAGGAGGGTAAAGTGATAGGATGGGTGATAAAATAAGGATTTGAGGAGATATGTCATGAAGGCAGGGGAAAATACGGATCAGGATAGAAACAATAAGGTTTTGAGGGAAATTTTGTAATGAAAGGGAGGGGGAAAGTGACTAGGCATCAGGATAATAACAATGATCAGGTATTTGAGGTCAGATATGTACATGAAGGCAGGGTAAAGGTGGACTAGGCAATCAGATAGATAACAATAAGGTATGTTAAGATAGGATATGTACATGAAGGCAAGGGTAAAGTGAGCCTAGGCATCCGCGGATGATAATAATAAGAGTAAAATAAAGAAAACCCGAGCGAGGCCACAGTGCCAGCAGTTTAGTCAGATTAAATGCTGTGTCTGAGAACAGCCCCATAACTTTGGTGCCGTACAACTTCATCAACAAGCTGGCAAACTAGTTAGCTACCGTATGGCCATTCAAACAAGCTTGCACTAGGCTGGTAGCCGGAGCAGGTTTGCTCAGCTGATCGAGCATGGTTTGCCGTAGTAGCCAGAGTGTCATAGCTACCGAGAGAGGAGTGATTTTCATAATTAGGAACTAGTGTAGTAGTCTTGAAAAATGTTGGCTGCAATCAAGACTAAAAGATAACCTCAACATCCGCTTTAGGGAGTGGTAAATCACTGGCCAATGTTGGTTGCAATTGAGATCAGATGTGCGGGTGATTTTTAGAGCGTATTGACGGTTTAAAGAGAGATCAGCTGGCGATAATCTGGTGTGACCTTCAATGGTCGCAATTGGCCCAATCTATTCCAAAGGTTTACTATTCAAAATTCAAAAAGGCACTTGCAAATTTTAGCTATCTTTTGTTGCAGGTGCCTGGTAACAATTGAATAACATGAAGAAGAAATAAATACCTCTGACTTGTGGCCGATACATAAAGCTTCATAAAGAGCAGTGATACTAGCAAGAGCAGCGTGCGGGTTTCTTCTTTTTTTTTTTTTCCTCAAAGGTTCACTATTCCAAAGGGATAGTAAATATATGCAAACTAACAAAAACATCACAGGTCCATACTTGCAAACTCTTGATTAAACCGGAGCTAGCAGCTAGCAGCTAGCAATTTTAAGCCACAGGGTTAAACCTCCAGTATGGACCCCACAGGTCAGGGGCATCTGAGGTAAAACTGGGGCAGTTCCACACCATTATGTCTGTCGCTTATTCGCTTGCCAGAGAGGGAATTAGATGGAAAACGGAGAGAAAGAGAGAGATAGAAGCATACTGTAAGATATTGTCCCTGAATTATGATACCATGGCAACGCAAATTGGCAGCTCCAGGTGACTGGTTTGCCTGCTCTCAAGAGGGGGACGGGGTGTGTGTGTGTGTGTGTGTGTGTGTGTGTGTTGGTTCTTCTATCCTTGTGGGGACCTAAAATCCCCAAAAAGTCCCCACAAGGACAGTAAAACAAGGAAAATTCTCCCTCGTGGGGACATTTCCCACATTCCCATGAGGACAAAGGCTATTTTAAGCTTAGGGGTTAGGTTTAGGGTAACACTTAGGGTTAGGGGTTAGGTTTAGGGAATACAGAGGTGGGGGGGGGGTGTCTCTGCTCAAGTGTATATGTTATTGGGTGCTTTATGCGAGCAGCAGGTGTGTAGAAGAAGAAGAGAAGACTTGGAAGTTTGGTGTTAGAGCTGTACTACTCACATTAACAGGTTGCCAGGTGCAGACATGGACCTCTCCTCTCTACTTCTGGGACACTCAAAGGGGTTACTAAAGGACTTCTTCCGCAGCATGGCCTTCACCAGGATCTGAATACACACACACACACACAGGTCTTAGAATCAGATGATACACATGCACTCACTCACCTAATGCACTTGCATTTGTTCAGGCAGGCAGGCACGCACGCACGCACACACACACACACACACACACACACACACACACACACACACACACACACACACACACAGTAACACACACACAGTAACACACACACAGTAACACACACACAGTAACACACACACTTCAGGCTCCTTACCACGGCGGAAAGGCTGGGGACAAACTTGACCGAGTTCTGCACCTCCTCCTCAGTGACCTCCACCACGGTACAGTGCTCCTCCTCCAGTGGTAGGGGGTCACGACCAGACTGGGTCACCCACGGGTCCAACTGAGACACACAACCAGAATGTCACAGTGGTATGGGCCTCGGCACTACTACACAATCCCTCACTTACATTTACACTTTAGTCATTTAGCAGACGCTCTTATCCAGGGCGACTTACATTAGCAATTAGGGTTAAGTGCCTTGCTCAAGGGCACATCGACAGATTTTTCACCTAGTCGGCTCGGGGATTAGAACCAGCGACCTTTCGGTTACTGGCACAACGCTCTTACCCACTAAGCTACATGCAACTTGAGAGATGTACAGATGCAGGAGGAAGATCCTTCCCTAACCATTACTAGAGAGGACGAAAAGGCAGCCTTATGAGGCTAACTGTAATGATGGAACAGGAGGAAAATACACAGAGACACAACAATAAATACACAGCACTCAATTCCACACCCCAATACACACAGCACCCAAAAATACACACAGCACCCAGAGAAGAGAGATGGGGAATCAGAATCTAAAGAATTTTTTGGACAAATGTAGAAAGGGCCTGGTGTTTGTAAACAGTCTTTTTTTTAAGGCAAAATTTCCTTGCCCTATGTCAATTTAAAAGGAGAGGGAGAGAAAGAAAAAGGACAAGGGGGAGGAGGAAAAAAGGAGAGAAAAGGGGAAGAAAGAAAAAAGAGAGAGAAGCGATGAGGAGAGGGGAGAAGCGGACGAAGATTTGGCTCTTCCCTCCCCTTTTCCCCTCTCTCTTTTTTCGCTTTTCCCGCTCTCCCTCTCTTTTTCCTCCCTCTTTTTTCCCCCCTCTCTCTCCCCGCCGCTCTGGTTTTTCGCGCGCTCCCTTTCTCCTTTTTTTTGGTTCCTCCGCTCTTTTTTTTTCCGCCCTTTTTTGTTTTTTTGCCCCCCCTCCCCTTTTCCCCCTCTTGGGTTTTTTCCCCCCCCTTTTTCCCCCCCCTTTTTCCTTTGGTGTCAAAAAAAAATGGGTCCTTGCACCCCAAAAAACTGCGTGTCTTGGCGGGTGGGGGGGCGTTCCGGGTAAAACTTTTGATTTTTTGGCCTGGGCCGCGGGGAAACCGGGCGCATTTGGAAAGGGGGAGTTGTGTAACGACCCTGGGTTTAAAAGAAACGTTGGCACAGTCGTTTTCCCGCGGGACTTGGGGGCCAAAAGGTTGATGGTTTCGAAACCCTGCTCCCGCCTGTTTCATTACTTTGGCCCCGGGAAAAAACCACAAAAATCCCATCCCTTTTTTTGGGAAACAAAAAGCACAAGCACAAGTAAAATGCATGCTATCGGGCCCCTTTAAATCATAGTACAAAAAAACCCCCCCTTGGGTTTTTAACTATTTGCCCAGGGTTAATTTATAAAAACCTTAAAAAACCCCCTTTTAAAAAACCCCTTACCCTCAGTGGCAAAAAGTTTTTGGCCATTGAAAAAGGGGAAAGACACGGGAAAACCCCCGGTTTCCCTTTTAGAAAAAAAGGGTGAAAACCAACCACAAAAAACCCAAACCCAGCCACTGAAAACCCAAAATTTAACCAAAAAAAAAACCAAAAACCCCCCCAAATTTTACCCCAAAAAAACCCAAAAAAGGGCTGAACCCCCCCCCCCTTTGAAATAACCCCAAAGGGAACCCAAACCCCCACTACTTGCCCGCCAAAACCCCCTGGGGGAAAAGGCCCCCCAACCCCCAAAACCCAAAATTCCCCAAAGATTTTTTTTTTTCCCCCTTTTTTTTTCCCCCCCCTTTTTAAAATTTTTTTTCCCTTTTTTCAAAACCCCTTTTTGGGGCCCTTTTTTTCCCTTCCTTTGGGGGCCCCCCCTTTTTTCCCCCTCCTTGCCCCTTCCCCCTTGGGCCCTTTTTCCTGCCCCGCCCCCCCGCCTTTTTCCCCTTTTTATTTTTTGGGGGGAAATGGGGGGTTTTTTTGCCCTTTGGTTTAATTGTTTTTAAATTTTGGGGGTTGCCCCCCCTTAACAAATTATTATTAGTTTTAATAATTAAAGAAGGGGGCCTGGTGGCCGGGTTTCAAAAAAATAAAAGGTCTTTTTGGGCCGCAAGGAGAACCCAAAAGGGGCGGCGCACAAGGCCCCTTCCCATAAAACCCCCCGGGGGGATTCCTTTTTAAAGGCCTTCGCCCGGGTTTTTTGGGTTCCTTCCTTCCCCCCTTGTTTTTCTCCTCCTCTTGGTTCCCCTCCCTTTTGTTTTCTCTTCCTTCTTTTTTTTTTTTTTTTCCTTCTTTTCTTTCCCTTTTTTTCCGCTTCCTCTCTTTGTTGGGGGGGGAAAAAAAATTTTCAAAAAAAAAATTTCCGGGGAAAATTTTCTTTAAAATCCTTTTTTCAAACCTTTTAAAATTTTCCCCCTTTTTTGGGTTTCTTCTTGGGGGTTTGGGGGAAAAGGGGTTTTTTTTTAAATTTTGAGATGGGGATGTCCCTGGTGGGGTCACTGTGTCAGGGGATGAACCAGATGTCGGGGTTTCCCCTAATAAAGGGTCTGGCTGTCAGGTTTTTCTCTAAAGTGGGTCGGGGTTTTGCCATTTCAAAAAGGGCAAACACTTTATTTTAAACCCAATTCTTTTTAAATTTTTGTTTAAATGAAAGAAAGGGCCCCTTTTTGAAAGTTTTTAATACCCAATAAATTTCAGGGAAGAATAAAAAGGGAGTAGGCTTGAAAATGCATTCCCCGTGACTGTCTCTTCTTTTCAAAATGAATATGGGCAATAAAATGTCCGTTTTTTCTATGGTTTCAAACATACCCGGGGGGCTAACAGAGGGGGGCCATTTAGTGGGGTGGGTTATTTTTTTGCTGGGTAAAAGAACTTTGGGAGATGGGCTTCCCCCCTGTCTTTTGGGTATACATGGGGGAAAAAAGTTTTTTGGACCCCCTTCTGATTTGGGTAATTTGGGCCCCTAAAAAAGACTGATCAGCCCTTTTAATTTTTTAACGGGGGGTTTTTTATTTTGAACAGTGAGAGACAAAGAACAAAAACAAAAAATCCAAAAAAAAAACTATGAAAAAAAGGTTATAAATCATTTCCCTTTTAAATGGGGGAAAAAAGTATTTGACCCCCCCTTGCAAAAAAATGACTTAGAAACTTGGGGGAAAAACCCTTGGGTTGGCAACACAGAGGCCCGACTTTTTTTTATTTTGGGCCACCGGGTTTGCACACATCTCAGGGGGGATTTTGTTTTTCCACTCCTTTTCCCATTTCTTCTCCAAGCCCATTAAGGTTTCGAGGCTGCCCATTTTGGAAACTCGAACCTTAAAAGCCCCCCCTCCCCCAGATTTTTTTTAGGGGATTGGGTCGGAAAGACTGGCTAAGCCACCCGGGCCTTAATTTGCTTTTTCTTGAGCCACTTTTTTTGTTCCCTTTGGGCCCTGTGTTTTGGGCCCATTGCCCCCCCCCCAGCTGGAAAAAACCCATCCAGGGGCCCCCTTTTTAAATGCCCTTTTTTTTGAGGAAAGGGGGTTTCCCCCCCAAAATTTTCCTGTAAAATGGCCCCTTTCCATCGCCTTTTTGATGCGGTAAATTTTTCCTGCCCCCTTTAAGCAAAAAAAAAAACCCCCAAAGCATAATTTTTCCCCCTCCATTTTGAGGGTGGGAGGGTTTTTTCTTGGGGTCTAGGCAGCATTCCTCCTCCCTCCAAACACGGCGAGTTAGTTATGCCAAGAGCTCATTTGGGTCTCATTAAACCAGAACCCAACCTTTCCCCCCCCCCAGTTCCCTCTGAATCATTCAGAGGGTTTTTTGGGAAAATTTTCAGACGGGCCCTGTAAGTGCTTTTTTTCCTGAGCAGGGGGACCTTGGGGGGCGTTTGCAGGTTTTCAGCCCTTTCCACGGGTATTTTTCCCCCAAATTTTTTTTCTTGGTGATAGGGGCCCCCACCAGCGCCTTGAATCATTACAAATCCCCCCCTTTTTTTGGGCTGATTTTTTCCCCCGTTCTCATGTTTCATTGAAACCCCACGAGGTGAGATCTTGCAGGGAAACCCCGGGCCCCGAGGGAGATTGACGGGTTTTTTGTTTTTCTTTTCCCCTTTTTTGGGCGAATTTTCGCCCCAAACGGGTTTCCCTTCTCCCCCCAACTGTTTGGCATGGTCTTGTACCCCATTCCACCCTTTTTGGGGTAGGTCTAAAACTTGTCCCTGAAAACCCTTGGAGACTTTTTGGGTTCTTGGCCATGGTGGGGGGATTTTGGAATCTGATTGATTGTGCTTCTGTGGCCCGGTGCCCTTTTTCCCGGTAAAAAAGCTGAATTGGGAAAACCCCTCCCTTTAAAAATGGGGCCTCCTAACTCAGCTCTTTACCTGTATAAAAAACCCCTTTGGGACCCCCAAAAATCTTTTCTGATTGAAGGGGGTCAAAATTTTAATTTCCCCCTCTTTAAAAATGCAAATCAATTTATAACTTTTTGACATGCCCCTTTTTTTTTGGTTTTGTTGTTTTTATTCGTCCCCAAATGTTCAAAAAAACCTCCATTAAAATTATAGACTGATCATTTTTTTTGTCTGGGAAAACGACAAAATCAGCAGGGATCAATACTTTTTTCCTCACTGTACTTTAGGTTATTGGTGTCAGATTTGGGGGTTTCCCCCCCGGCCCTCTAAAGGTATCCATTAGGTTTTTGGGTTCATTTGGGTTTATTGGTGTCATTTTGGGTTTCAGTGTAAATTGGGTTATTGGGGTCATTTGGGGGTTTTTTTGGTGTCAGTTGGGGTTTTTTGGGCCTCTTTTGGTTTTTGGTTTCTTAGGTTTTTGAATTTTAGTTTAAATTGGGGTTTTCATTTTAGGTTTTTTATGTCCGTTAGGTTTTTGGGTGCAGTTAGGTTATTGGGGTCAGTTAGGTTATTGGCGCCCGTTAGGTTAGGGGTGTCAGTTGGGGTTTTTGGGTGTAAAGTTGGGGTTATTGTGTCAGTTTAGGTTTTTGGGTTGGTTTTTTTAAGGTTTTTATTGATGTCATTTTAGTTTTTTTTGGGGGCATTTAGGTTTTTTGGTGTCAGTTATTTATTGGTGTCAGTTAGGTTATTGGCGTCAGTTAGGTTATTGGTGTCAGTTAGGTTATTGGTGTCAGTTAGGTTATTGGTGTCAGTTAGGTTATTGGTGTCAGTTAGGTTATTGATGTCAGTTAGGTTATTGGCGTCAGTTAGGTTATTGGTGTCAGTTAGGTTATTGGTGTCAGTTAGGGTATTGGTGTCAGTTAGGTTATTGTTGTCAGTTAGGTTATTGGTACGTTTACTGATACATTGTTTATTTATTCATCAATATACTATTTCCAAATAAAAAATAAATAATTTAATCCTAACTGTGTTGCGTCTTTTTTGAGTCAGATGTGTGTGTGTGTGTGTCAGGGGGATGTGTGTGTGTGTGTCAGGGGGATGTGTGTGTGTGTGTGTGTGTCAGGGGGAGTGTGTGTGTGTGTGGTCAGGGGATGTGTTGTGTGTGTGTGTCAGGGGGATGTGTGTGTGTGTGTCAGGGGGATGTGTGTGGTGTGTGTCAGGGATGTGTGGTGTGTGTCCAGGGGGATGTGTGTGTGTGTTGTCAGGGGGATTGTGTGTGGTGTGGTCAGGGGGATGTGTGTGTGTGTGTGTCAGGGGATGTGTGTGTGTGTGTCAGGGGGATGTGTGTGTGTGTGTGTCAGGGGGATGTGTGTGGTGTGTCAGGGTGGATGTGTGTGTGTGTGTTCAGGGGGATTGTTTTTTGTGTGTGTGTCAGGGGGATGTGTGTGTGTGTGTCAGGGGATGTGTTGTGTGTGTGTTGTCAGGGGATGTGTGTTGTGTGTGTCGGGGATGTTGTGTGTGTGTTCAGGGGATGTGTGTGTGTGTGTGTGTCAGGGGATGTGTGTGTGTGTGTCAGGGGGATGTGTGTGTGTGTGTCAGGGGGATGTGTGTGTGTGTGTGTCAGGGGGATGTGTGTGTGTGTGTCAGGGGGATGTGTGTGTGTGTGTGTCAGGGGGATGTTGTGGTGTGTGTCAGGGGGATGTGTGTGTGTGGTGTCAGGGGATGTGTGTGGTGTGGTGTGTTTCAGGGGGATGTGTGTGTGTGTGTGTGTCAGGGGGATGTGTGTGTGTTGTGTCAGGGGGATTTGTGTGTGTGTGTCAGGGGGATGTGTGGGGTGTGTGTGTCAGGGGGATGTGTGTGTGTGTGTCAGTGGGATGTGTGTGTGTGTGTGTCAGGGGGATGTGTGTGTGTGTCAGGGGGATGTGTGTGTGTGTGTCAGGGTAGGGGGATGACACCACTGCAGCTAATTAGCCCCCCCCCCCACACACAGATTAGCCCGCCCCCCCCCCCCCCCTCCCCCTCACACACAGTCCCTGGAGAGAGAGGATCCGCTGACTACAGATGAGATGAGAAGTTAGATCTCACTCTGTGTCACAGAGAGCCTATAGGGAGAGAGGATTCAGTCTGGGGACTTCCACTCCCTTCCCTGATCTTTGAGACTCTGTGTGTGTGTGTGTGTGTGGTGTGTGTGTGTGTGTGTGTTTGTGGTGTGGTTGTGTGTTGTGTGTTGGTGTTGTTGTTTGTTTGTGTGTTGTGTGTTTGTGTGTTGTGTGTTGTGTGTTGTGTGTTGTGTGTGGTGTGTGGTGTGTGGTTGTGTGGTGTGTGGTGTGTTGGTGTGTGTGTGTGTGTGTGTGTGGTGTGTGTGTGTGTGTGTGTGTGTGTGTGTGTGAATTGCTCCTGTAAGTCGCTCTGGATAAGAGCGTCTGCTAAATGACTAAAATGTGTGTGTGTGATCTTTATCACTGGGGACAGCTGTTGATCTGGCCATCTACTGGGGAGGACATTTTCAGTTATGCTCATGACACGTTCAGCACCGCCTGTTAATGAGTCCCATTGTGTAAAAAAACCTCCTACAGTACCATTGGTCTAACTCAGGGGGATGAGGGTGGAGCTCCTCCTCTCACCTTGATCTCAGGTATGGTGATCCTGGTGTCTGGGTTCTTGTCCAACATTCTTAGGATCAGAGTCCTCAGCTCTTCACTAATCTCTGGCCTACAGAAACACACACACACACACACACACACACACACACACACCACACACACACACACACACACACACACACACACACACAGGTCAGAGCTGCTACAGTATTAATCAAGGTATAACATAATCTGCTTGGCACTCAGCATTGGATTGGGGGTAAGGGCCAGCGACAGACTAGCGTCCTGTCCAGGGGGTGTACTTGTACATCAAGCTGCCTCACGCTACATAAACAGGAGATAGGCTCATGCCCTATAGGTCATTCTTGATTGGACAAGGCTTACTTACCTCTAGCCCAGGTCATGTTATTATGAGGTGTTTGCATTGAGATGTAATCATTAAGTGATCAAATCAAATCAAATTTTATTGGTCACATGCGCCGAATACAACAGGTGCAGACATTACAGTGAAATGCTTACTTACAGCCCTTAACCAACAGTGCATTTATTTTAAACAAAAAAAGTACAAATAAAACAACAACAAAAAAAGTGTTGAGAAAAAAAAGAGCAGAAGTAAAATAAAGTGACAGTAGGGAGGCTATATATACAGGGGGGGTACCGTTGCAGAGTCAATGTGCGGGGTCACCGGCTAGTTGAGGGAGTTGAAGTGTCAGGAGGAGGGTGGAGCATCATGATACACTACATCACCAAAAGTATGTGGACACGTCTTCAAATAAGTGGATTCGGCTATTTCAGCCACACCCGTTGCTGGCAGGTGTATATAATCGAGCACACAGCCATGCAATCTCCATAGACAAACCTTGGCAGTAGAATGGCCCATACTGAAGAGCTCAGTGACTTTCAACACGGCACCGTCATAGGATGCCCACCTTTCCAACAAGTCAGTTAGTCAGATTTCTGCCTTGCTACAGCTTGTGAAGTGGAAACGTCTAGGAGCAACAACGGCTCAGCCGCAAAGTGGTAGGCGCTACAAGCTCACAGAACAGGGACGCCGAGTTGCAACACTCACTACCGAGTTCCAAACTGCCTCTGGAAGCGACGTCAGCAAAATTACTGTTCGTTGGGAGCTTCATGAAATGGGTTTCCATGGCCGAGCAGCGGCACACAAGCCTAAGATCACCATGCGCAATGCCAAGCGTCGGTCGCAGTGGTGTAAAGCTCGCCGCCATTGGACTCTGGAACAGTGGAAATGTGTTCTCTGGAGTGATGAATCACGCTTCACCATCTGGCAGTCCGACGGACGAATCTGGGTTTGACGGATGCCAGGAGAACGCTACCTGCCCCAATGCATAGTGCCAACTGTAAAGTTTGGTGGAGGAGGAATAATGGTCTGGGGCTGTTTTTCATGTTTCGGGCTAGGCCCCTTAGTTCCAGGGAATGGAAATCTTAATGCCACAGCATACAATGACGTTCTAGACGATTCTGGGCTTTCAACTTTGTGGCAACCGTTTGGGGAAGGCCCTTTCCTGTTTCAGCATGACAATACCCCCTGCACAAAGCCAGGTCCATACAGAAATGGTTTGTCGAGACCGGTGTGGAAGAACTTGACTGGCCTGCACAGAGCCCTGACCTCAACCCCATCGAACACCTTTGGGATGAATTGGAACGCAGACTGCGAGCCAGGCCTAATCGCCCAACATCAGTGCCTGACCTCATTAATGCTCTTGTGGCTGAATGGAAGCAAGTCCCTGCAGCAATGTTCCAACATCTAGTGGAAATCCTTCCCAGAAGAGTGGAGGCTGTTATAGCAGCAAATGTGGGACCAACTCCATATTAATACCCATGATTTTGGAATGAGATGTTCGAAGAGCAGGTATCCACATACTTTTGGCCTTGTTGTGTATCTTCACACACAGAACGGCCAACCCAGCTAGCACATTTGGTTCCTTGGAAGTTGTGGGAACATACGTTTTTGGTTTCCCATTGGTTCTGGGAACGAAGCCATTAGTTTCCAGACAGGTAAAACTGAACGTTTTTTGAAACGTCCTGAGAACGGAAGTGAAAGTTTTGCCTGTTCTGGGAACGTTCATTTTTAGGTTGCAGGGAGGTTCTGAGAACATTTGACTATGTTTCCCTGAAAGTGTGTCTGCAGGCAAGCACTACTGACACTTCGTTTTGGCTATAGAGGGGCTGTTTTTGAATTCACATTCAGTTGACAATCACTGGGAACATCACCATAATTATTTTGAAGGGTGTGTGTGTAAGAGAGATTCTCCTAGGCATGTGCTTTGTGTGTGTAGTCTTCATGTGGTCCTCTGTAGCTCAATTGGTAGAGCATGGCGCTTGTAACGCCAGGGTAGTGGGTTCGATCCCCCGGGACCACCCATACGTAAAAATTTATGCGCACATGACTGTAAGTCGCTTTGGATAAAAGCGTCTGCTAAATGGCTTATTATTATGATCTGTGCTTTGTGTGTGTAGTCTTCATGTGCTTTGCCGCTGAGCAACAGCTAAGTTGGCAGCATCGGTTTCAGCTCTGGGGTGGCGGGGGCTGGAACATCAAGTGTCTCATTTAATAAAGAAGAGGAGGAAGAGACGATGGGGGGATGGGAAGAGAGAGAGAAAGAGAGAGAGAGAGAGAGAGATAGAGAGAGAGAGAGAGAAATAGAGAGAGAGAGAGAGAGAGAGAGAGAGAGAGAGAGAGAGAGAGAGAGAGAGAAAAAGAGAGAGAGACTTACAACTCTGGGAACTCTACACATTTAGTCCTGATCTTATTGTGTAGAACCAGGATGTATTCATCAATGAACGGACACTGCATGAAGAGGAGAGGAGAGGAGAGGAGAGGAGCCAGGAGAGGAGAGGGATGAAAGGAGAGTGAGAGGGAGGATTGGAGGTAGAGGAGCGAGCTGATAGGGAGCCGAGGAGATACGCGAAGAGCCAAGAGAAGAGAAGTAGAAGCAGAAGAGAGAGATAGATCGAACGAGAAGGAGAAGAGAGTAGAAGAGAAGAGAAGAGAAGAGGGAAGCGAATAGAAGAGAAGAAAGAGAAGAGAAGAGAGGAGAGGAGAGAGGGTTCAAAAAGTTAGCTACGAGTTATAATTATATCTAAGAAAATTCTAAGAACATCTTGGAGCAAAACAAGTCGGCTACTTAGGTAACAGCATGAATATGACGTACACCAGACTCCACACAGTAATCACTAAACAGTCTCTGCTCTCTACAACCATAGAACATGTGTCATGTTACAGTCTCTGCTCTACAACAATAGAAGAATGGTCCATGTTACAGTCTCTGCCTCTACAACAATAGAACATGGTCCATGTTACAGTCTCTGCCTCTACAAACAATAGAACATGGTCCATGTTTACAGTCTCTGCCTCTACAACAATAGAACATGGTTCATGTTACAGTCTCTGCCTCTACAACAATAGAACATGGTCCATGTTACAGTCTCTGTCTCTACAACAATAGAACATGGTCCATGTTACAGTCTCTGCCTCTACAACAATAGAACATGGTCCATGTTACAGTCTCTGCCTCTACAACAATAGAACATGGTCCATGTTACAGTCTCTGTCTCTACAACAATAGAACATGGTCCATGTTACAGTCTCTGCCTCTACAACAATAGAACATGGTCCATGTTACAGTCTCTGGCCTCTACAACAATAGAACATGGTCCATGTTACAGTCTCTGCCTCTACAACAATAGAACATGGTCCATGTTTACAGTCTCTGCCTCTACAACAATAGAACATGGTCCATGTTACAGTCTCTGCCTCTACAACAATAGAACATGGTCCATGTTACAGTCTCTGCCTCTACAACAATAGAACATGGTCCATGTTACAGTCTCTGCTCTACAACAATAGAACATGGTCCATGTTACAGTCTCTGCCTCTGTTCAGTCTCTGCCCTTACAACAATAGAAACAGGGTCCATGTTACCGTCCCTCCTGGCCTCTACAACTAACTAGAACAATGGCCAATGTTTTCACAGTCTCTGCCTCTACAGAAATAGAAACCTGGGCCATGTTACAGTCTTCTGTCTCTACACAACAATAGAACATGGTCCATGTTACAGTCCTCTGCCTCTAAACATAGAACGTGGTCCATGTTACAGGTCCTCTGTCTCACAACATAGAAACATTGGTCCATGTTACAAGTCTCTGTCCTCTACAACAATAGGAAACATGGTCCATGTTACAGTCGCTGCCGTCTACAACAATTAGAACATGGGCCATGTTACAGTCTCTGCCTCTCCAACAATAGAACAGTGGTTCCATGTTACAGTCTCTGCCTCTACAACAATAGAACAGGTCCATGTTACAGTCTCTGCCTCTACAACAATAGAACATGGTCCATGTACAGTCTCTGCCTCTACAACAATAGAACATGGTCCATGTTACAGTCTCTGCCTCTACAACAATAGAACATGGTCCATGTTACAGTCTCTGCCTCTACAACAATAGAAACATGGTCCATGTTACAGTTCTGCCTCTACAACAATAGAACATGGTCCATGTTACAGTCTCTGCCTCTACAACAATAGAAACATGGTCCATGTTACAGTCTCTGTCTCTACAATAGAACATGGTCCATGTTACAGTCTCTGTCTCTACAACAATAGAACATGGTCCATGTTACAGTCTCTGTCTCTACAATAGAACATGGTCCATGTTACAGTCTCTGTCTCTACAACAATAGAACATGGTCCATGTTACAGTCTCTGTCTCTACAACAATAGAACATGGTCCATGTTACAGTCTCTGTCTCTACAATAGAACATGGGTCCATGTTACAGTCTCTGTCTCTACAAACAATAGAACATGGTCCATGTTACAGTCTCTGTACTCTACAATAGAACATGGTCCATGTTTACAGTCTCTGCCTCTACAAACATAGAACATGGTCCATGTTACAGTCTCTGTCTCTACAATAGAACATGGTCCATGTTACAGTCTCTGTCTCTACAACAATAGAACATGGTCCATGTTACAGTCTCTGTCTCTACAATAGAACATGGTCCATGTTACAGTCTCTGTCTCTACAACAATAGAACATGGTCCATGTTACAGTCTCTGCCTCTACAAACAATAGAACATTGTCCATGTTACAGTCTCTGCCTCTACAACAATAGAACATGGTCCAGGTTACAGTCTCTGTCTCTACAACAATAGAACGTGGTCCATGTTACAGTCTCTGCCTCTACAACAATAGAACATGGTCCATGTTACAGTCTCTGTCTCTACAATAGAACATGGTCCATGTTACAGTCTCTGCCTCTACAACAATAGAACATGGTCCATGTTACAGTCTCTGCCTCTACAACAATAGAACGTGGTCCATGTTACAGTCTCTGTCTCTACAACAATAGAACGTGGTCCATGTTACAGTCTCTGCCTCTACAACAATAGAACATGGTCCATGTTACAGTCTCTGTCTCTACAATAGAACATGGTCCATGTTACAGTCTCTGCCTCTACAACAATAGAACATGGTCCATGTTACAGTCTCTGTCTCTACAATAGAACATGGTCCATGTTACAGTCTCTGCCTCTACAACAATAGAACATGGTCCATGTTACAGTCTCTGCCTCTACAACAATAGAACATGGTCCATGTTACAGTCTCTGTCTCTACAATAGAACATGGTCCATGTTACAGTCTCTGCCTCTACAACAATAGAACATGGTCCATGTTACAGTCTCTGTCTCTACAATAGAACATGGTCCATGTTACAGTCTCTGTCTCTACAACAATAGAACATGGTCCATGTTACAGTCTCTGCCTCTACAACAATAGAACATGGTCCATGTTACAGTCTCTGCCTCTACAACAATAGAACATGGTCCATGTTACAGTCTCTGTCTCTACAATAGAACATCGTCCATGTTACAGTCTCTGCCTCTACAATAGAACATGGTCCATGTTACAGTCTCTGTCTCTACAATAGAACATGGTCCATGTTACAGTCTCTGTCTCTACAACAATAGAACATGGTCCATGTTACAGTCTCTGCCTCTACAATAGAACATGGTCCATGTTACAGTCTCTGTCTCTACAACAATAAAACATGGTCCATGTTACAGTCTCTGTCTCTACAATAGAACATGGTCCATGTTACAGTCTCTGTCTCTACAACAATAGAACATGGTCCATGTTACAGTCTCTGCCTCTACAACAATAGAACATGGTCCATGTTACAGTCTCTGCCTCTACAACAATAGAACATGGTCCATGTTACAGTCTCTGTCTCTACAATAGAACATGGTCCATGTTACAGTCTCTGCCTCTACAATAGAACATGGTCCATGTTACAGTCTCTGTCTCTACAATAGAACATGGTCCATGTTACAGTCTCTGTCTCTACAACAATAGAACATGGTCCATGTTACAGTCTCTGCCTCTACAATAGAACATGGTCCATGTTACAGTCTCTGTCTCTACAACAATAAAACATGGTCCATGTTACAGTCTCTGCCTCTACAACAATAGAACATGGTCCATGTTACAGTCTCTGTCTCTACAATAGAACATGGTCCATGTTACAGTCTCTGTCTCTACAACAATAGAACATGGTCCATGTTACAGTCTCTGTCTCTACAACAATAGAACATGGTCCATGTTACAGTCTCTGTCTCTACAACAATAGAATATGGTCCATGTTACAGTCTCTGCCTCTACAACAATAGAACATGGTCCATGTTACAGTCTCTGTCTCTACAACAATAGAACATGGTCCATGTTACAGTCTCTGTCTCTACAATAGAACATGGTCCATGTTAACAGTCTCTGTCTCTACAACAATAGAAACATGGTCCATGTTACAGTCTCTGTCTCTACAATAGAACATGGTCCATGTTACAGTCTCTGTCTCTACAATAGAACATGGTCCATGTTACAGTCTCTGTCTCTACAACAATAGAACATGGTCCATGTTACAGTCTCTGTCTCTACAACAATAGAACATGGTCCATGTTACAGTCTCTGTCTCTACAATAGAACATGGTCCATGTTACAGTCTCTGTCTCTACAATAGAACATGGTCCATGTTACAGTCTCTGCCTCTACAACAATAAAACATGGTCCAGGTGCTGGTCTTTTGAACAGACACATTTACGCTTTTCCCCACTATCGTGCTGACCCAAACCAAACTGTGTTGGCTCAGATAGTTTCTTTTCAGAGTGTCCGGCATTCCAGCACCTATGGCGGATGCATAACAAGGCCAGCAGAGCCCAGTTGGGCTCAGTTCAGTAGTGTGAAAAACACAGGGGAAACACTTCTTCCACCTCTTCTTCCATAGAACGCCAATGAACAGACAAGTTGTGGGCAGGCTGGGAAGAAGTAATTATAAGAGGAGAAAATTGACTGTTGGCTTACCTTCCCAAACACAAAGCAGTAGAGGGTCACTCCCATGGCCCATACGTCCAATGCCTGAAAAACAGTAGCAGTGAAAGGGTTGGAGCAGCTGTACCACTGTAAACAGTAGCAGTGAAAGGGTTGGAATAGCTGTACCACTATAAACAGTAGCAGTGAAAGGGTTGGAGGAGCTGTATCACTATAAACAGTAGCAGTGAAAGGGTTGGAATAGCTGTACCACTATAAACAGTAGCAGTGAAAGGGTTGGAGGAGCTGTACCACTATAAACAGTAGCAGTGAAAGGGTTGGAATAGCTGTATCACTATAAACAGTAGCAGTGAAAGGGTTGGAATAGCTGTATCACTATAAACAGTAGCAGTGAAAGGGTTGGAGGAGCTGTACCACTATAAACAGTAGCAGTGAAAGGGTTGGAGGAGCTGTACCACTATAAACAGTAGCAGTGAAAGGGTTGGAATAGCTGTATCACTATAAACAGTAGCAGTGAAAGGGTTGGAGCAGCTGTATCACTATAAACAGTAGCAGTG